TCAGAATTATGAGATTAAAGTCAAAATTCTGATATTAAAGTAAGAATTCTGAGGAAAATAATCAGAATTCTGAAATTAAAATCAGAATTATGAAATTAGTCAGAAATCAGAAATTAAAGTCAGAATTCCGAGAAAATAAATAAAAAATCAGAAATCTGAGATTAAAGTCAGAATTCATGTATCTAAATCTGACTTTTTTCTTGGAATTCTGACTTTTTTTCTTTTTTTTTTTCAGAATTAAAGAAATAAATGTTTGTACCATGGCCCGAATCCTCTTCCGTACACAATTGTTGGAGCTTTATACAAAGAAATTCTGAACAATTTTTTTCCTGCACCTTTTACCCCGTCTTTTTATGGTACATAACATTTCCCTTTTGCTGACCACCTATGGTGAGAGAAGAGTCAGAAATAGATTTCACAGCAAGGTTTGAAGGGCTGCTGAACAATCAGCGGCACATTCACAAAAAGAAGGCAGTCAGGGAGGAAGAAAGTGGCCAGAAAGTAAAAGCGCAAGAAAGAGAATAATGGCTGTTGAGCCAAAAGAGACCTTGAGAAAAAATTAATTAAGCTCAACCCAATACTTGTGTAGTCTAAATGGAAGAACACCTCTGAAGTGATTGACATTTAGTTTGATCTTTTTTCTCTGCCAGTTTTGACGAGCACTTTGAAAGGATTTCTGTTTTTGACAATGTGACTTCACAAAGAATCAGATCACTTGCTGCTGTAGGGGGAGACGAGTAAATCGCTCAGGCATTTGGTGATTCTTTCCTTCTGCCTGTCAACTCAAAAAGTTGCACCATTTATGTCAGTTTCTTGTCTCTTTACAAAAACTGATGCAAGTCAATGTTTCAAAAGTTTAAGCATTTTCTCTACATCATTGTTTAGAGGGATAAGAACTATTATTATATGTTGCGGGAGTATCAGAGAAACTGAGACGTTTATTTTCTAAACATAACGTCCCAGTGGCTTTTAAACCCCAAAATACATTACGGCAAAGACTGGTTCATCCCAAAGATCCAGTCCCCCGGCACAAACAGAGTAATATTGTGTATGCTGTTCAGTGTCAGGAGGGCTGTGATCAGTCTTACATC